TTACTTGTTTCAATTGCCACCCAACACAATTGTAAAATATAATATCTGCAGAGAGACTGTTCTTCCCTGTTGTATTCTATTGTTGTATGAGTGATATGTTTCATAATGCACAGGATGGAAGCATGTGCCTCAGTAGGTTGGACAAAAGCTTACACTGATGGAATGGACAGAATTTGTTATTCAGGTACGTGCTGGAAGGCATGGTGCATCTGAAACATCATGTTCACTGGGAAGTGCAGTCTCTATCAATTAGTTACTTTTACATGTCAAATGTTTTGATCTCTGTGGTTTTCCTTTAACAAATCCCCTGTCCCTTGCTCTTTTCTCAATCCATGTCTGAGAATCTGAGACTCCCATCCTTACTGGTTCCAAAAATATACTTTTTCCAAGTACTCCACAGGGTGCTGAATAGATTCTGAGCAAAAGGTGAATAAACAGAATTCTGTTTTTATTTAGATGTATATGACGTTAGGCAAAGATTTTGAATGAAATGTGATATTCACCATCAAGTTTTGATAAAGCACTGAAAATAAGAGACATTACAACATGTCAAATTATTTAATTCCATATTTCAAAAATTACCCTAGAAATTTAATTCATGTTTAATGAAGAAGGAAATATTTGATGCTTTGAGACAGCAATTAAAACCTGTGAAAAAGAATTCTACAGTCAAAACACAACTTTTATACTTAATGCTGAACACTGAGTTAGGTTTGTTGTGTTTATGAATACCAAAAAAATTTTTCTGGAAAAAGTATCTTAGTTTCAACAATTCAGACTGGCTTTCTTTATTGGATCAAATTCCCAGATAATTTTTCAGCTCATCAGTTCATTTTGCTTTTGTAGACACAGCTCCAGTTGTTTCTATATTGTGTGACTGGTGGGAGAGCATTTGAAATTGTATATTAAATACAAACCATTATATATATATATATTTGAACTCCAGAAAAGGAGCAAAATAATAGTTAACGACCAATCTAATGAAAGTTACATAGGCTTCAGATGTTAAAATTGATGGCTTCTTTCCTTTAGGATTTATTTTTACTTTCTGCTTTCTTCCATATTTTAAAATTCACTCTAGACTCTTCATAGTGGTGATTCGTCCAGTCCCTAAAACCAGCTTATGTGAAAAAGTGCCACAGAGTAGATCCCTTAACAATAAATCATCCCCATTAATGAATATCCAAAAATGAGTGAGGTTTGCTTTTTTTTTAGTTTTACTACTATCAGGAAGTGATGTGGGAGCTGCTGGTAATAAATATTCAATGAAATACATGCTAATGTAGCCATTTGTCTCTCCTTAACCATAACTGGTGCTATATAGCTACCTCTCCTTACATAAGGCTCAATTTCACTTACAATATTAATTTAGATACTAATTTAGATATTACTTTTTTATCATGAGGCAAAACTTTATATACTTCAGACAAAGATAAAAATCCACGTTTTTCCTATTACTTTCCGCTTAATACCTTCTTGATTTATTGCTTTAAGGTTGCCCAGTGATCTTTCTAGGCTCCAGGTACCCTCTCCTATGCATATATTATAGACATACACAAAATATCCCAGTGCTCCTTGACAAAGATGGACTCTATTTTCCTATCATCTTGCACATAAAGCAATGCCACTATATAATATTTTTTGTGTGTTTGCTTTGCTTGGGCTCAGAATATTACGTGCCATTACTAAAGGAATAACAGATTGCATATTCAGCAAATGTTATAGCTCAGAACATAAAAGAAGGGGTTAATCATCACACAAAGAAAAATCAGCTGGTTAATTCATTGCACCATTCGTTGGAGTAACTGTGAGTTATTCTCATAGCTTCAGTGCGATAATTAAACTAGACTCACCTGTGTATTAACAAATAATGTTTGTATCAAGATTATCCAACTTCCTTTTTCTTAGGCTCTTTCATATCTCCTTTTTTTCATAATACAGGTAAATACTTTGTTTGGCCTTCTATTCTTTGAGTGGTGCTTTATTCACTTTTTATACCTAACAAAACTATCTAGCATCAAAATCAACACTTTTATGGATGAGAAAGGATGTTGTTACTTTTTCATGGATGTTTCCTTCTAGATTGGCTTGTATTTGTACAATTGCACTTTATATGGATTTTTGGCCTCCTGATGTTGTTTCTATTTTTAATATATTTTTATATGTTGCAAACCACCTTTCCAGGACTACTCTACTACAGCGCTCTGTTTGAGAAAGCAGCGTTTTACTGAGATGGGGTCATTGTAAATTATCTTCAGTCCCAGACCCTTCTGGACTGGAATCGATGTTAAGGAAGGCCTCTTTATTGGTGAAAGTTGAGCTGAGAGTTATGCTCTGTCGAGGCTTCACAGGTGCAAGTTCATCTAATTTAATATTTTCATTTCTGACCAGAATTGTCTTATCCATGTTTTCTTCACTGTGCCTTGCAACAACAGCATCAAATAAATCTAATTTTGGTGGCAAGCTTCCACTTTCAAATAGGTATTTGGCTAGATAAGAGATGCCAATGTTGGCTAAGAAGGAGGTAACCATGGCAAGTGTTTTAAATGGGAATCTCTGATTATATATCCCATTCTTATCAGGGTAGTAGCCAGGGTAGAAAATCAAGGGCTGTAGGTACAGGTATGGCTCCCCTCCAGTTATTCTCAGGAAAAGGCCGGAAACATAACCTGCCACAGCCCCGTAGGTGTTGGTTCCCTTGACAAAAAGCACACAGAGCAGCTGGGGGAAGATGATGATGTAAACAAGGTCGGAACTGAGGTACCACAGCCCATACACGGTCTTTGTCAGCAAAGCCATGGCTGTCGCAGATGCTCCAAACACAAACACCGTGATTCGCATGACCCAAACGATTTCTTTGTCCGATGCCTGTAAGAAATTGCCACAGGGTCAGCTTTTCACACCATGTGTTGGCTCATGTAGGCCAAGAATGAGATACATTTTGTACTTTAAAACTGGTCTAAAGAATT